CAGGCCGTGCTGGAGGGACTATGTCTCTCGGCTGGCCTGGGAACGCCTCGGAGGAGCTGGAGGAAGTGTCTGGAGAGAGGGAAGTCTGGACGTCTTTGCTTAGACTGCTGCCCCCGCGACCCGGTTCCGGATAAGCGGAGGAAAATGGATGGATGGAGTGTTTAATCTCTAGCTAGGATGTGTTAGAGCTGCAGAGAGTTGGAGCTGCATTCTGAAACACTTACAGTAATGGTGTCACAGCTATCTTTCTAATCAATCATAAGCTTCTTGAGGGAGTTGAGATAGGCAGGGATGAGGGAGCTGACAGACTCATCGTCATCGTTGAGCAGCTTCTCCCCTCTGCCCTCTGAGCCCGCAGAGCTGGGTGACCTGACCAGGCCAGGGTATGGCGTGCTGTATCCCTGGAAGAGACACCTCAGTGTCATTATTCACAGCAAGTTTATTATTTCATCAATTTATTTGGGACAACAGACAGGACAAAGCAAAAAGAACCAACTACTTTTATAGGATAACAGTAACTTTCTTGCCACTAGTCAATGAAAAACAGCGCTATCTGCAGACTCCCACATTGTATTCAGTTATAACTCTTAATGGCTTTGTACAGACTATGGTTACTTACAGAGGAGTAGCCCTTGCCAAAGCTGCCTCTGTTCTTGGTCCTGATCTTGGTGAGCGCTGACTCTGCGATGTCTGCTCTCTCCTCGGCATCATCCAGCTCATGGACTGTCTTCCTGTACTTGGCCAGGTTCATATTAGCTTGTTCCTCCTGCAACAGCAACAGTTTGTGTATGTGTGTGAAAACAGACATGAGTCTCATCAAGTGATATATGCTGTCGGTGAAATGGCAGGTGCAGGTGACATACAGCCTCTTCCACTTGTCTCTTATAGGCCTTCATCTTGTTCTGCAGCCGCTCCACCAGCTCCTGCATTCTCTGCTGGTTCTTTTGGTCCTCTTCTGACTGGAACAGCAGCTCCTTCAGCCGACGCTCGTTCTTCCGCAGTGTCTTCACTGTCTCAGCATGTCGCTTCTGCTCTGAGTCCAGCTCCAGCTCCAGCTCCTTCACCTGCACACAGACATGCACCGCTGCAGCTGTAGTACTGTTATTCACACCTGAGTATTTGTATCACAGCCTTATACAGTGTAAAAAGGATTCAACACGTCAACTACCTGGAAATATCTATCTTTAAAGCCTGCCTGCAGGGCAAAGTAATCCACTTTACACTACACATCAAAGTTAAAAGGCTATTCCATCAAAATAACTTCCATAAGAAAATGACTTTTAAAAGTCAAAGCAGCAAATGTCCTGATGTAAAGTCCCTAATATGCCTCCCAATAGATGCTTTACCTGACAGTGCAAACATCTTTCACACTCCATATTACCAGCTTGCAGCACAGGCTTTAAACAAAACTGTACGATGAGAGAACCTTGAGGAGACTGCCAGGGCTATTTTCTCAAACCTAATAAATCTTTGCCAGATTCAAAGAAGATGTAATACCACAGGCTGACCACTACTCATGACGCACAAGCAAAATTTTGTGTGCAAAACTGATGGAAAATTAAAAAATCCCCCTGTATCAAGTACAACTTTCTTCAGCATTGAAGAGAACCAATAAACTCATGACAATCTTGCAGTTCTTTGAGGTTTACCAGTAGCAGTTGTCAAGGAATATAAACTAAGCTTGACACTAGATGGGTGTACTGTGTTCAGATCTCAGATTCACTTTGTAGCAATCAGAATCAGAATCTGCTTTATTGGCCAGGTTTGTCGGACACACGAGGAATTTGACTCTGGTACATCGGCTCAGTGTGTATGGTGAGATGTGGTAATTTGACTAATTCAAAACTAGCTTAGTGATGATTTATTTGGTGATATACTAACGTACAGGTTAAGATAGCCCCTACATTAACATTTTCATTTTGTGTGGCCCTGTCAAAATCTTGTGTGTTTTTTCTGTGACAGTGCATATGTAGTGTTCCAGCTGACACTGACACTACGGTTTTCTACTTTGACTTCTATTGTTGTAACCCTTACTATTGGTTTTATTAGTTGATTGTAATTAAAAAAGTAATTGCATTAGGGGCTCACAGACATATTTATACCTTAGGGCCCCTTACCAGGTTAATGCTGCCCCAGACTATAGTTACTAATATTTTGTCCAGTGGATGTGGTGCATTTGTTTCTACAGAAGAACTGACAAGAAGTATGCTAGCTGCTATATATAAAATCAACACCAAAAACCCTGTGTAATAATGTTATTACTTCTTCAGGGAAAAAACAGGCATGTTGACACACGTTTTCCTTTTTGTAGATTCTGTACCTGCAGAAGTTTTCGCTTTCCATAGTGTTTATGGCTACAGTACCTACATCATCCTGTTACCACGGCAACTCAATGTCAGAATATCCTGCTCTGGACCAAAGTGCTGTCAAACCAGACAAAGCAACTGACTGATGTCTTTGTGACTTCATACCTTTCCCTCCAGCTTCTGGATGATCTTCTTGCCTCCTTTGAGAGCCATTTGCTCGGCCTCGTCCAGCCTACTGCTCATGTCTTTGATCTGAGCCTCCAGACCTTTCTTCACTCTCTCCAAATGGAGCGTGTGCTCCTGCTCCAGACGCAGCTCCTCCCCAACTCGTGCCAGCTAAAATAATTACATTATTTCACATGACTGAACGGGTTAAATCTTTACTGCTACAGTATCTTAATGTGAGTCGCCTGGCGTGTGTTTTACCTCACAGCTGGCCTTCTTGGCCTTGTCTGTGGAACCCCTCAGCTCTCCTTGCAGCTCCTCATGCTCTTGCTGCAGAGTCTGGAGATCCACCTCCAGCTTCCTCCTCCCACTCAGAGCTGTCTGGAACTGAACACAGAAGAAGGCATCAGGAGAGTCATCGGTCTAAAGGAGTAAGTTAAATCTTTAGCCTCTGCAGAACAATGAAACTGAAGCAGACATCCTCTGTCACCTGGTTGTTGAGGTCACTGTATTTCTCGTTGACCTCCTGCAGCTCAGTCTCCAGGGCCTTTCGAGCCCTCTCCGTACTCTCAAAAGCTGCACGAATCTCCTCTCCCTCGCAGACCAACAGAGAGCAGCGTCGTTCCACAGCTGCCTGCTCCTCCTTGCACTCCCCGTGGCTCCGTACCTCCTCCTCCAGCTGAGCCTGCAGCTCCTGAAACACAGGAAAACACCTGTGCTGTAAATTTCAGACTGTTGTAAACTGCTGCTCTAGAAACAAAATATCATGCTGCATCAGACCTTGATCTGCTGTTGCATCTTCTTGCTGTTCTTGCTGAGCTCTGTGTTGTTCTTTGTGAGCAGGTCCACCTGCAGCTCCAGCTCGTTGATGTCGCCCTCCAGTTTCTTCTTCAGCTTCAGGCCCTCTGCTCTACCTTTCACCTCCACATCCAGACTGGCCTGCAGGGACTCTAATGCTCTCTGGTGGCTTTTTCTGTCAGAGGAGAAAGTGACAGCTGGATGGATAAGAGGTATTACAGAGATAGACTGTGCATGTGTTGCTGCAGAGACAGTAAAGCAGGGTTTGAAAGGGGGAACAGTTTAATGAGACAGGTCTTACCTCCAAAGGTAATGTACTATGACTTTGTAGAGAGAGAGTAAAGGGAGATAGACAGGATGAAAAATCATTATGCTGGAGTATCAAAGAGTATTAGTGCTATAGATGAGAAGACTGTCACAAAGGGACGTGAAGTAGTATACCTAGTAGCTTCAAGCTCTTCCTCCTTCTCCTGCAGTCTGCGCTCCAGATCTCCTTTAGCCTGAGACAACTCCAGCTGCAGCCTCATCACCTTGGTCTCCTCAGCCTGGGAAATTTTGGGAGTAGTCCTAAATATTATACTGGTCGTCACCAATATCTAAGTTACTCATCCCTGGCAAGGTGTTGGAGAAAGAGGTCTACACTCAACTTAGCCAAAATCGCACTCCTAAAGTTTGCAAATGACCTCCAGCTAAAGTTAGACACCGTACTGTTTCCGTACTTCAGCTTTTTGAGTGATAAAACTGAGACAGTAGTGATACCATATACACATGTACATTTAAACTTTTGTCCACAAATGTATCAGAGGTCTTCACTGTGACCTTGCTCTCAACCTGACTTTCAGATAATAATTCTTTAATGTCATGGACCTTCCTTTTTTGATTCTGGTTTAAAGTTGCATTAATTTTATTTATTTATTTATTCTTGTTTGGTGAACGGGGGCTGCACGACAAGCTGTATACATAACAGTGAAACATCATGAGTAGTTGCCTATATAGAAGTCCATTAGGCACACAGCAACATTACCTTTCATGTTTCTACCCACCTGACAAAGCAGCCTATGTCACAAATTCACTTTCCTTTTATCTCCGTTTGGTCTCTACCAACTTCCTTGGAATATATTCTGTCTCTAACTGCTTAATGCTCACTAGCTGGTAGCTGCCTTTGTCATTTGGTGTTCCTCAGGTAGCGCTCAGTTGGTTTATCAGAGCTTTCTAGTTACCTGCTGCCTCCAACTTTGATGAGAGGGGCGAGAGTAAATCAGAACCAAGGTGCAGGCTTTATAACCAAAACAATGAGCTGAAAAACAATAAAACACTATAGAGCCGAATGGAACTGCAGATTTGGATGATAATTATTTTCTCTCAAATGCCATATTTATCATATAAAGTATTTGATCTTTCATTGTGCATGTTCTTTGTTTTATCTGTTGTCTTTAAAGAACTCTGTAAACTTCTTTTTGAAAAGTGCTATAAGTTTTAAAATATCTAAAGTCACACACACACTGCAGGCTTGCCCCCAGTAAGCATCAACATATTGTAATATTCAGAGCTGACAGGCAGATCTGCTGACATTACGTACCTCCAAAGCTGCCTCAGATTCCTCCAGGGAGGCCTGTAGCTCTTCTTTCTCCATCTCAATCTTCTTCTTTGCTTTCTGGAGCTCATGGACACTCTTACCACCATCTGATAGCTGTTCTGTCAGGTCAGCTATCTCCTCTGTAACACAAAGAAATAACTTACACACAGCTAATAATAGTTACTATTAACCACCAAGACAGTCTTTTAAAAGAATACTTTGATATTTTAGATAATACACTAAGGTAAGCTAACAGCAACCCAGGCTTCACTGTATCTAACACAATCTTCTTATCTGACTCTTGCCAGAAGTGCACATTTCCCAAAATGTTAAACTATTTTTTTAATTCTGCTTAAGGCATCCCCCCTCCCCCCTCACACATACCCTGGTAGGCCTTGTTCTCCCTCTGTAGAACCTCCAACTGCTCCAGCGACTCTTCGTGAGCTGTCCTGAGTTTAAAGAGCTCGCTGGCATGTTGCCTGCTCTCCTTCTGGCAACCCTCCACCTCGGCCACCAGCTCCTCACACTTCTGCTTCCAGTCTCCCAGCTGTTTCTCCAGGACCCGCTGCTTCTTATCCAAAGCCTGACCACAGCTGCTGGCCTGGGAAGGGGGACATAAGTTCAAAAATAACCGCAAAGTTTGTGGCACTGCAACACTGATACAATATGGCTCCTGCTCTACCTTATCCAGGTCCATGCAGAGGTCTTCCACCTCTCCCTGCAGCCTCTGTTTGGTTTTCTCCAGTGAAGAACATTTGGCCTGGGTGGCTTCCATGGCCTCCTCAGCCTCCTGGAGCCTGGTCGCCAGCTTCTTCCTGTGACATGCACGTTATTAAATGAACTGAAGTATATTCAGTGTTAAAAGTGACAGCCAGTGTCAACACCACATACTTGGTGTCCTCCAGCTCATCGGCATATTGGATGGCATCAGACTCATGTTTGCCCCTCCAGTGCGTCACCTCACTGTTGAGTTTGGAGATGAGGCGCTGCAGCTCCTGCTTGCTCTCCTGCTCTTCCTCCAGCTGCTCCTTCAGAGCCTCACACTCCTGCCGCACTGAGCTCAGACTGCTGCTGACCGCCTGCTTATACTGGCAACAGTACCAGAGATGTAAAGTTTTGACTTTGAGTGGAAAAACACAGGCTTTTTTCATTTGGTTGAGTACAGAATTATTATATTCACATTTGATTGTTCAACTTTGAATTCAAAAACACTGACCTTGACCTCCTCATCCAGCTGTTTCTTCAGTTCCTCCAGCTGGGTCTGGAGCAGAGTTTTGGAGCGGGTGAGCTGACTGGCTCTGCTCTCTGCCTCCTCCATCTGTCGAATCATGTCTGCATTATCAGCTGACAGGAAAAACAAGAACACTGTTTATTAATACAGCGTAGCATTTTGAAGCACTATGCCAGGTACTCTAACAATACACACAAAAAGCAAACCTACAATGTGCGTCATGTACCTACTGTACCTGATAAAGATACACAATATAAAACAAAGTATTTTGCTTTCCTTATCTACTAAACAAAGCACCAGTGACTCATTTTCCAGTAAATTACTAACATATCTGTATCCTGTTGCATTTATTTGTGATAATAATAATAATAATGTGATTTTCTTGCCACTAAAGACAAAGTAAAACTCATATTATTCTGTTAAAGGGGAACTCCACTGATTGTATAAAGTCCAGTATGTCAAAGTCTGTTTACTTGTCAGGAGTGCTACTTAGCTTGCAAAAGCACTTTTTATAATGTCTTCTGTTGCTGTGGTGGAGCTTTGTCAAGTCTAAAAAAACATACTCATACTGAATCATTTTGACTTAGTCTTGGGGACTACAGTTCACATGTTCAGTTGCATTATGGGAAGTGCGGGATCTAACAGGTTTTAAAGCTTGAAGATATTAGGGACTAAAAGTGAAAATACATAGGGCTCCCATTCATCAATTTTGAAATAGCAACAGTAGTTTAAACAATTTGGGAAAACATTTGCATTTTTGGAGTTGGGCAAACAAGAAGATCAGAACCGTTGATTGTGAGCTGACAGTTAGCTTAGCTGCCTCTGTGCAAAGCTCAGAGGTTTACTCACTAACCCCTCTATTTTTGAGTTTTGGTGAAAGTAATGCTGGTATTTTTCTCTATTTCTAGTCTTTATGCTGACTAGGTTGCTTAACTTTAAACAGAAATACAGAAGATGATTCAGTTCTCACCCGCAGTTACACCTGAATCAGCTGACTTGAACAATTCTAAGGCCATATATTGTACAGTAATTGACAGTATTCATGTTGAATCGGTACCAGTGTACCTGTAAGTCTGTTCTTGGCTACACTGAGCTCAGTGAGTGTCCTCTGCAGGTCGTCTCCTCTCCTGTTGGCTTCAGACAGCTGCTCCTCCAGCTTCTTCATCTGGCCGTCCGAGGACGTCTGCAGTGTAGTGAAAACACAACAGCACACAAGTCAAAGGCCTAGGATGTTGTCAGCTTGTTAAAAATTTAACTCTGTGTGGCAGTAACAGCAGGTCTAGTCACTCACCTTGGCTTTCTGCAGACTCTCCAGTGAAGCAGCCAGCTCGTCCATGTCCACCATCAGGCTCTGCTTCTCCTTCTCCAGTTTGGCTCTGACCCGCTGCAGAGCCTCACACTGCTCGCTCAGCTCTGCCATAGCATCGCTGTGCTTTTTCCTCAAAGAAACAGCCAGCGCTTCGGATTGAGCAGAGGACTCCTCCAGGTCTCTCCTGAGATGCTGCAGCTCGGCCTCCCGCTTCTTATTCACCTCCATCTGTTAACCGCACACAGATTTTCTGTAATGTTCTGCTGTACAGTTAATGTGAGGCACAACAGTGGTGTCAAACTGGTATCACCCCAAAGGGACATAGGATCATTTTTGTATCATGTACTGGGAATATTCTAAAGCAAGTTTTTGAAAACCTGTCCTTGGCAGAACACTAAAATGTCTCAAATTCTTAATTCTCAATGACAACTTTTCTTTAGATCCCTAAATCCAGCAGAAAAGAATAGCAAGTTCATGCCCATATTGCTGAAAATGGTGGTAGTGGCTTGCCAAGCTCCCCATTCCCTCACACACTAACACTGAACAAAACTGTCTCTAGATGTTATTTATATGGAGTGGACTTCAGGTAAATCAGGAAACACTTGATCCTGGTCTTCAGTCAAATCAAATCAAGTTTTATTTATACAGCGCCAAACAGTCATCTCAGGACACTTTACAAAGGTGGGTAACAGTAAGGCCTTACTGTTATCACTATTATTACAGAGGAAAACCCAACAAATCCCCCTTGAGCAAGCACTTGGCAACAGTGGGGAGGAAAAACTCCCTTTAACAGAAGAAACCTCCGACAGACCCCGGCTCTTGGTAGGCAGCCTTCTGCCTTGACCGGTTGGGGTGAGTGGACAGAGGAGAGAGGAAAGAAGAACAGCAACAAGACACAACAAACAATCAAACACTGGTCAGGTCGATGTGGCTGGTGACTGCTCATCAGAGACGTAGAGCTCCAGAGCCAGGGCAAAGGTACAGAGAGAGAGAGAGGACACACTACAGGAGAGAGGAGACACACAGTTAGTGATGTGTAATGGTGGCATATAGAAGGGGGAGGAGAGGGGAGGGAAGGGAAGGGGAGGAAAGGAGAGAAACTCAGAGCATCATGGGGCCCCCCAGCAGCCTAGGCCTATAGCAGCATAACTAAGGGAAGGTTCAGGGTCACCTGATCCAGCCCTAACTATAAGCTTTATCAAAAAGGAACGTCTTAAGTCTAATCTTAAAGGTAGAGAGGGTGTCCGCCTCCCGAACTGAGACTGGGAGTTGGTTCCATAGGAGAGGAGCTTGATAGCTAAAGGCCCTGCCTCCCATTCTGCTTCTGTGGACTCTAGGAACCACAAGTAAACCTGAGAGCAAAGTGCTTTGTTGTGATGAAGCTCTATGAGGTCTTTAAGATACGATGGAGCCTTGTCATTAAGGGCTTTGTATGTTAGGAGAAGGATTTTAAATTCTATTCTGAATTTTACAGGGAGCCAGTGGAGAGAAACTAATATGAGAGAGATATGATCTCTCTTGCTAGTTCCTGTCAGTACTCTGGCTGCAGCATTTTGGATTAACGGGAGGCTTTTTAGGGAATTATTGGGACATCCTGATAGTAAAGAGTTACAGTAGTCCAGCCTGGAAGTAACAAATGCATGGACCAGTTTTTCAGCATCACTTTGAGACAGGATGCTCCTGATTTTCGCAGTATTGCGCAGGTGAAAGATGGCAGTTCTAGAGACTTGGTTTATGTGTGGTTTAAAGAATAAATCCTGGTCAAAAATGACTCCAAAGTTCCTCACAGTAGTACTGGAGGTGAGAGCTATGTCATCTAAAGTAACTATATGATTAGACAGCAGATTTCTAAGGTTTTCAGGCCCAAGCACAATAACTTCAGTTTTGTCAGAGTTTAGAAGTAAGAAGTTGCAGGTCATCCAGGCCTTTATGTCTTTAAGACATGCTTGAAGTTTGACCAGCTGATCTGATTCATTTGGCTTCATAAATAAATATAACTGAGTATCATCTGCATAGCAATGGAAATTTATGCTGTGCTTCCTGATAATGCCTAAAGGGAGCATGTATAAAGTGAAGAGAATTGGACCTAACACAGAGCCCTGTGGAATGCCGTCATTAACTTCAGTCTATAACATGAACAAATTGAAATCTTTCTGATAGGTAAGATTTGAACCAACTTAGGGCGGTTCACTTCACAAATAAATAAATATTTCTACACTGGACATACCAAGAGATGGCAACAGAATTGCAAGGACAGTCTCTTAAGGGTAGAAGTAGAATAAATAGAGGCAGTTGAGCAGTTCACCAGAGGCAATCAAACAGCTTTTTTTTATATAAAAGAAGAACCCTATTAACTTGCATTAAGGGAAATAATAATACAATACTCCAAATACAGTACATGTATACAGTTTTTAATCTTATGTGACTATTTAGAAATGGTTACCAAGTATTTTTGCTTCATTTTAAATTTATTTCTAATGAGATTTTTGTGCAACAAGCGCTATACGACTTAGGTGAGTTTGAGTAATGTGACACTGTGGTGGATTGAGGATGGGGAGGGCATGCTATAAGAAATGGGGGACAAAAAGCACGGGCCTAGTTGTATGTAAACACTCCGGTATGCACTACAGTTTGACACCACCATTTGCCTCAGCTTTGTGGAAACAAATTTATATGCAAATTCATTGTATCTCCCAGGATGTGTATAAAGATGTTCATAAAGATATGACAGTTACAGTTTTACATGAAAATCTACAACTACACAAATGTTGTTTAGTGTTTGTGTGTGTATACAGTGTAGTGTACCTGTGAGGCAGTGACCCCTCCAGCTTCCTCCAGTCGGTCAGTGAGATCATCCCGTTCTCTGGTTAGATCTGCTCTCTGCTTCTCCACCTGCCCCAAAACAGTTGAAAAATGCTACTAAATACTAAATGTACAGTTTGATGCTAAATGATCAAAATCATGTTATTATGATGTAATGAAGCATTTGAGGGAAAACTTAAGTGAAACATTCATGAAGTTGCATTCATTTATTGAACTCAGCATCCACACAGCATGCCAAACATATTGATAAACACCTCCACTGCATTAAACATCAGACAGAGAACATCTGGCTCTAAAGCAGTCCCACCTACTAGGCCACGATATTTAACTACCAGGGGTCAGCATGAGTGACAGCAAAGCAAAACGACCTTTTCTGAGGTCAGGAGATCAGCTGATGTTACAGTGATGTCAGCTGCTTTTGTACAGTCCAAATATTAAATTGACAAAAATCAAAAAGACACCAAATACAATCATAAAATATCAAGACCTTCATTAATTAAATATGTGTCCCACTAAAATCCACACCGGTTCCAACAATACAATAAAACTTGATGCCAGTGTATCACATACCATACATCAAAACAAACAAAACATTTAAAGCTGCAAAAATGTTGGCGTATGAATGATAAAGTTCTCAACAAGGTCTTCAGAGAGCCAGAGACAGAATTTATAATGCAGGGCCATTACACGCACTAACAGCCAGCGCTCCGCTCAATCGTTTGCAGCTGGTTTAGACAGATGATGAGACTGGTCTGTGAACGCGGGACTCTCAGGCCACTCTGACAGCAGCAGAGAGTCACAGCCATCAAACACTGCGGGCAGTACAAGGAAAAACAGATGATATTCATTGGGGGCCTCCTCTCTCACCCCCCCCACCCCCCAGCTCAGTCTCCAAAGACATGCAGCCCACCAGCTCCCCCAGCCCCACCCTCTGTGTCTAAACCCTGGCTTTGTTCAGATGGTTAACACTCGGCTCACTCGTCACTCTCCTCCGCACCACTGGACACTACTTACTCCCATTCACATGCTAAAAGGAAGTCAATTCTCCCAATTTCTCTTTCTGGAGGAGGGAGATTCATCTTGATTTGCACAAGAGCTGGTCATACTGCACATACAGTACATGCTGATTTCTTCTCTGAAATGAAGTATAATGTATATGCAGTATCCATAGCAAGTGTGCATTAAACTACGTATACTACTTCTGTACTGCTTCACTACTTGTAAACATCTAAATTTAAAGGTGATGTAAAAATAAATAGGATAATGACTAATGTTAATCTTTGTTTTCACTTAAATAGGTGACATAGAAAAGCTTATCATTCATTCCTAGTTATGTTTTTATACACTCCTTACATTTTAATCCAATGTTCGCTCCTCTTTCAACCCTGTATTTGTCTTCACCAACTCCTGACGGAAATATCTGTTCCTTTATTTGCTAAATAAACAACTGTCTTTACCAGTGGGTTGCTAATCTTGCACAACTGCTGTTTGGTGCTGGACAGGCAGTGGACAATCTATCAAATCTATATAAAGTTGGGTGATAAATCTCAGGGGATTTGTCACTACAAGTGACCTCCATTGACATTACACATGACATAAAAGTATTGATTAGTGCTGCTTTAAAATTCATTGTTTAGAATTGTTGCAACATGTTGTGTGTTAATGTTGTTTCAGATCCATTTCCACTCTGACATCAACAAATGTGCGCCAAGTCAAAGATACTGATGTCATATCTGCATTTGTGTCCATGATCACACACTGTTTGCATGTTCTGTGTGTGTGTTCCTCAGTGAGTGAGCACTGTACTGTACACCGGAATGTGTGTGAGACAGGCTGGAATTCCAGCTGGAGAAGGTACTATGGAAAAGGATGCTGTCTCTCAGCCCCTCTCTGCTGATGCTATCTTCCCTCTGTGACCTGAGGAGCAGAGCCTAACAATAGTGAGCCTGTCTGCAGTATTTGAGCTCTTCTAAAGACACGGGCTGTGGAGCAGATAAAGACCTGCATGTCTCTGCCTGCCCCTTTCACCCCTGGAGACTGATGTGTGTGTGGGGGGCGACATAGCACCATTAGGAATACCACCCAGAGTGAGGAGACGTGCAAAGCAAACCCTCGGGTCTGCTGTCACTCCATTCATTGAACAGAGTGAAATATGCACCTTTGGTATTTCTGCCTTTACCTACTGTAACATGGAAAGTTCAGTCAGGTCTTAAGAGGTTTGAACTGGTTCTGGGGCTTAAATACACACGATTTAAGAGTGTCTCGTTTGAAAAAACAAACGCTTAAAGCGGCCGCTTTCATAGATCAGCTTTATATCAATCAGGCATGCTGTGCTGAAATCATTTTACAAAGATGTTTTGGAAACTTTGCTGCAGTGAAAGGGAAGGCAGTAAAAAATGTCCAGCTCTTCTGATTTGCTTCTAGGAGCAAGACGGGAGGATTACAAGAACCAGAAGGTGCTCTGATATGTGTGCATGTGAGAGAGATGAAGAACAACTGGGGAACGTAAGAGGATGCTATTGCCCTGTATGTTAATCAGAAACCTGTCGTCTCCTCTCACCCTGGTTTATTATCACAGGTGCAGATAATTTGAGGTGACCAAAGGTGCAACACGTAACACACATGCACAATGGGCTGCCAACACATCAGCAATCTTTTTGCACTCTTCTTTTCTGTCTCTCAATGTTCTCTGTGATCCAAACACTGCTCTCAACACCACTGGTCTGGATGTTACAGCAGAGCCAAGCTGATCCCAGAGCTGCCTGGCACTCTCTTACCTGCCCTGCAGCCTGCCAGACAAATTTAATGTTCACCTGCTCTTCGTTATGGGGGAGATATTGTACAGTACAGAGCCTTGCAGTTGTGTACAGTAGGTAGAGCATACCTTGGCTCTGATGGCCCGCTCTGCTTCCAGCTCCTCCTCCAGCTCCTCGATGCGGGCCTAAAGAGAGAAGGAAGTTCAGAACAGTCTGCTTCCACTAAAATATAAAACAGATACAGCAGATCAGAAGTTGAGCTGTTACACTCTGGTTTCACAGTGCCAAGTAGGGCGTCACCTCCACGGAGTGTTTGCTATTTCAGGGCAGCAGTTAAATGTGGTGAGGCTGTCTCATAGACTCTGCTTTCTCCAGGGATTTGGCATCCCTCAAACTTTTTCCTCAGGTAGCAATTTAGAGCAAGAATGTCTGTAGCCACCATCATTATCTGTATTCTGACCCAGGGCTGTGCTATGTCCGGTCAGAGAGACCAAAAAGCATCTGTGCCATTTTCATGACATTCTAGGAAGCTGGGTTATGTTTTCGCTGCTTTCTCTTGGTTTGAGAATCTGATGCTTTCCCAAGCAGTGTCAAAGACTGAATAGCAGTCAAAATGGTAATTGTATCTAATTCATTATAAACTGAGTTTGTGGTGTATATTTTGTAATGTTTTAAGTTCTATGAGGCTTATTTCCAGGCTAAAGTTACAGTATACTGCATATATTACCTGTTACAAAAGGTTCAATAACAATATTTTAGTAATACAAAAAATGTATATAAATCTGCAAATCATGTTAAAATGACAGGAAGTTCTTATGTTTGATAGCATCTGGGTTGCAAGTTGGTGTATTCATATGAATGCAGAATGCAGGGCTGCACTGGTCAGCACAATATGTCCTTTTATCTGCTTTTGACTTCATTATAAACTATTCATTAACTGTTCAAATGCTGCTTATATATGCTATCTGGGGGCTAAATTACATTTTTATTAATACTTTGGCAAACCAAAAGACTGATAGTGAGATTAAATCTTCATTGAAAATGCAATTCTCCCTTTTTACTCATTGGGGGAAATGCCCAGCTACTAGTTACATACAACCTTGCACACAGAAAATATGATGCACTGCAGCAGATTTAACTATCCAACAAAACACAATGGTTCAGATTTGCTCCACTTGAACAAAATACAACAGTAAAGTGCTGCTTATTCATTCATTAATTAGTCATTTCATAATATAATGTATTATAGAATAACAGCAGCATCATTTCTAAAAAAAAAAAAAAAGGGGTTTATTGTTTTAGTACATTTTGACCATTCAATGCAGGGCTTTTACTTAGAATGGAGATTTTCATAGCTTAGCATTGCCATTTTTAAGTAAAGGCTCCGAATACTTCCTCCACCACCAATTACAATATTCATATAATCATTTGTGCTCATTTAAAATGGGTTTAAATGCCCCTAATATTATTTTGAGTCCAGTATTCAAAACAATCAGAATGATGTAATACATCACTGTCCTGTTCCACTAATCTCATGCCAAAGCTGCATTTTGTGCTGCTAGTTTCCCATTCTGACTCCATCCTTCCAAGTCATGTCATGTTCTGCACTATCTCCAGTTTCTATCAATGTCAGGAAGTCTGGCTGACATGGCGTGTAGCCCAGGGCCATTCACACCGACACCACCTTCTCGCACTGATGTGATGAAAGCTGCTCACCGGCTACACGCCAGCCAACGCTCACACATGAACCTATCAGACATTATAAAGCAAAATAAATGCATGAACATGTAACTATCTTGCAGTTCTAGCATTTTTGATTCATTCTAATACATTTATCTAAACATTTTAGAAATGTCCCAAAAGTCTGATCAAACATCAGTATTTTCCCCCAAAACACAAGCACGAAGCCATTAACCCTGCTACTATTTAGATGTTTCTTTCAAAGTAAAGTTTCACCAGAACAACAAAAAAAGTAAAATTAAAAACTCACATGCCAGCGCAGGACATCTGCAGAGAGAACAGCCATGGTGAGGCAGCAGCAGCTTGAATGACTGACTCACATATACTGCTGAGCCCCTCCAGCATTTTTCTGTCCACACCCCCTTATGCATGCACAGCCTGTCTGTCTCTCGCAGCTCCCCGCTCACATATCTGTTTCTTGTTAAATTCCTACTTCCCACAGAATAAATACTGTGGCAGTAATACATTTGTAGAAAATACAACATACCGACAGTGCTAAAATGTTTGAGCCAGACTATAGTTTGGGATACTTATCTCTGGCAGAAAAAGTGTACATGTTGCTTTTGTACACCTTTTAAAATTAAATACATTAGAAATTGTCCCACACACACTCTTTTATACTTAAGAGCACTCAATGGAGCAACGTGGGGAAATACAATTAACCCATCATTGCCGAGAATGGTTGGAGGGCTGGAGCTCCATAATTGTATGGGCTTAAAGTTCTTTTTTCCAGTGTACTCTGAAACCATAATAGTTGTCCATGAATTACAATCAGATGTGGCCTCATAACTGATGTCTCCTCACTGCTGTCTGAGGGGATGTTCCGCGGCGTGGGCAGTTCTATCCTGTGAGATCCCCCGGTGTCAGTCGCAGGGGAAAAGCCAAACACTGGAAGCCCTGCCTCTGCACTGCCTGCCTTCAACCGTTAGGTTTGGCATTAAAAACCTCTTTTTAGGTTTATGAAGAAACCATGATTTCAGTTACATACATCCTTAAGGTTAAAGGACCTTTGTCAAGATGCCATGGTTACATCAATAAACATGTGGAACAGTCATGATTCCTGGTTGGAAGTGGGGAAACAAGCAACCTTTGGTTCTGGGATTTGTTAACCCATCCCTTTATCCTAACCTCCTCCAAACTCAGACTTTGTTGCTCTACATTAGTGCTCCCCAACTAGCGGATTCCAAAGAAGATTTTATCTAGACCGCAAAGTGTTTCACATTAAAATATTAATCTGAAATGACAGAGACAGACAGGATACTTTATTAATCAAAGGGGAATTCTGGGGCCATTTGTTCAGAAGCAATCTGATCGGATCAAATTTTGAAAATGGGTTCCAAAAACAGGTACTGGAATCAAATTAGATTAGCCTACATACAGCAATCTAATCACAGTTGTGATCTGGATCAAACCTATTTGTTTTGTTTTACTTTTTAGTAGGAATGAGATACCTCGGATCCAAAAACAAACAAACAAACAAAAAAAAAAAAAAAAACGGGTTTTTCCTGATCCCAGCAGAAGTGGATTCTGGGACAAAATGTAATAAAGCTTTAAAATTAGTCAAATAATACAACAATTTACAATTTCTATCATGTAAAAGATGAACTTCAAAGAGCAGGTCTCCACCAATGAGGACCTTTGAGGGTTTTTTTTTAAATAACTATTGGACATTTAGCCTTTCTATGATTTAAAGCTGTATGTTCTAGATATCCACAAATGTATAAATAATGTGTTTTGTATTTACTGTATTTGCTGTGGGTCAGATGAGGAGCCTGATTCCTTAAAAGAAATTGAAAATGGAAGGGGGGATGCATTGTTTTACTATGCCGTTTTCTGTTTAATAAAAATCATACAGTAGTAACCTCCCACTGGCTAATTCACCTCTTGTTCCTTTCACAGGTAGTTGCCTACAATGTGATGTATAGTCCCATTTATAGTAAATCTAGATTTGGTCATCAAAGAAGGTTTGTATCCGATCTAATGTCGCTTTGAAAAACTGGCACAAAAGCAATGTGGACTATCTGATCTAGGATAGCAAAACATGGGATTTCCAAATCTGGTTCACTCTGAAACATCTGGTATAAACTAACCAGACCACAGGGCATGACTGAGCTCTTTCTCCTCAGATTGTGATGACCCTCAGCAGTTTTCTATGTGAGGCAAGCCAGAGAATTTCAAGGGAGGAGCAGTGTGAAAAAAGATAAACCAGAAATAATAACTGTAAACATCAAACTTAAGCTCCGCTATGTGTTAGGCAAAGTGGATCTACTTGTATTTATTCTGTGAGAGAGGAGACAGAGTCTGGGGTGAGCAGAAAATGGAGCAAGTATGGCGATGAAGTTTTAAAGTTTGGGTTTTCATGGACTGGTCCCAGTGTTGCTCCACTGCCACAGTGTTATTTATACAGAAGTTCTAGTTAATGACAGTAAGAGACCATGTAAACAAGTTTTGGGATCAAGATGGGACCTTCTGGTAGAAAACTAGAGGATTCGCGGTCATGGCAGGTATATAGTGGGGAAAAGAATTATTTGATCTCCTGCTGATTTTGTAGGTAAATGAAGGGTCTATAATTTTTATCATAGGTTTATTCTAAAGGACAGAGACAGAATATCAACAAAAACCTCCCCAAAAAGCACATGATACAAATGTTATTTTTCCCACTGCAATACCTGTAAATTACATTGTACATATAGATCCACTGAATCCAGATTGTGTATATACAGTATATATACACGCATTCCCTTGCTTGTTGACATACAGTATATGTACACATCGAGAGCTGCTGTACCAGAGTGAAATTCCTCATGTTTCCAACACACCTGGCCAATAAAGCTGATTCTGATTCTCTCTTTCTGAACCCACTAATCTTCTTTTTGGGCTTCATTAATCTACCAGCCAACAGTAATTCTGGCTCCCACAGACTGGGTATGTGCTCAAGTGGTGCCCAAATTAGTCCTGTCAATTTAAGAAGGTGCTCCTAATGACAATTCGTTATGTGCTGCAGTTTAAAAGACACGTGTCCACAGAGTTTATCTATCTTCCATTCAAACCTCACCACCATGGGCAAGACCAAAGAGCTGTCAAAGGAAAGGTACAAGATTGTAGACCTGCACAAGGCTGTAATGGGCTTCAAGACCATCAGCAAGAAGCTTGGTGAGAAGGAGACAACTGTTGGAGTAGCTATTCACAAATGGAAGAAATACAAACTGACCATCAGTCGCCCTCGGTCTGGAGCTCCATGCAAGATTTCACCTCATGGGGTAAGGTTGATCATGAGAAAAGTGGGGGATCATCCCAGAACTACACAGGAGGAGCTTGTGAATGATCTCAAGGCAGTTGGGACCACAGTCACCAAACAAACCATTGGTAAAACAGTACGCCACCATGGATTGAAATCCTGCAGCACCCCTAAGGTCCCACTCCTCAAGAAGGCACATCTACAGGT